AGCAGAGTTGAGGCGGTGGAATTTTTGTTTCCATCACAGTGGGCATTGGGGACTGCTTTTTAGGGACTTGGAGATTTTTAGGGCCTTGGACAGTGGAGAAAAGGCAGTTCAGTGTATGAGCTGAGAGGTCTTTTCTGGCGTGTCAGTAAGAAAGTCTTGACTTCATAGCAATTATGTAATCCAAATAGGTAACAGAATGGGACAGTTGTTTGGGAGTGTTTATTTTCTTGGGAAGGATTTTCTCTGCTTTTAGAAAATTGTACCCTGGTAGGAGGGTGGGAGACAGAGACGTCATCAAATAATCCACGGGATGGAATGTCCGGAGATCAGGCGGTGCCCTTCTCTGCTGTGGGTTCAGGCACAGGAGGGTGGGGGGGGGGTTGAATGGCTGTGGTGACATCTAACAGCTGCACTGAGACCTGTCTTGTCTCTGAGAGGTCTTCTGCAGCCTTTGGAGCAAAAAAGGTGTTGTCATCCATTCTAGGCCTTTCATTTACTAAGAGGCTTGTCTTCTCCTCTCCCAGTTTTTCACTTCCTAAACTTTAAAGCTCGAAAGCACGTTTCAGATGAAATAGTTTAGTTTTGAGGTTTTACTAAGGAAGACACGCAGACCCGGGCGGTCAGGAGATTGGCGTGCACCCAAACACACACACCCTCGGCCCAGCAAGTCCAGGCGGAGTTCGTGTTGGAACACAGACACCTTAATCTCAGGTTTAGTATTTGTAAAAGCTGCACCCTCCTGCCCTTTGTTTCAGTCGTCGGTACTCTTCTCTGGCTACCCTGTAAACCCTACAGTTCTCTGAACATCACGTTTTCCTTCCTCTAAAATTTAGATGGCAGGCCTTGGGAATAGGCTGTGGGCTAATTCCCGGTTCTCAGCTCCATCCACCGAATCCAGAAAAATCAGCTTCTGCTGGTTTTCGTGATGCCTTGATCCACATCAGGGTTTTCTGTTAATTTCCATTTCTCAATGTTTCTAATCTATTTGCTGTTTTAAAATCGAAACCCTGCCATCCGTGCTGTTTTGTGACCTCATTTCTGCCTCTGCCAGATGAGACTCATACACAGCCGGCAATGCCCGATGCCCGTGATGCCCAGCTCCGGCCCTCACCAGGGAAGTCCACTCTTCCTTCTGGGCCTCATGGCTCAGTTCTGTCCTACTTTACTCTCTTCCTTACCCTGTTAGCTCATCTTACAGCCCCACTGACCATATTATACGCCAAAGAAAGCGAGTTAATTCCCTTCACCTTGAGTTTGGATACTGTAAGGGTAAATGTCTCTTCGTCCCTTTCTTTGATTCCTTTCAGGGTGTAAAGCAAGTAGCCATCCCCAACTGCCACACTTCTGTCATGGGCACATTTTTGTCTTTTAATGTAACGTGTCAGAAGCTGCCTCTTCACTAAGGTGCCCTTCGTTTGAATGGAATGGAAACACCCTCTGTTCCTTCCCTTCTGGGTATCTTCCGAAAAAATGATTCTGTGATAGTTTCATTTTTCTCCTCCTACGTAGGCATGGTTTCCTTGTATTCTCATCTTCACATATTTTTGATTTTTCTAATTTTTTCCTCTATGTGGCTTGAGTTCAGGTTACTTAACTTTATTACTAAAGTAAAGTAACAGCTGTTGCTGCAGTAGCTTCTCCAAAGCCCAGGAGTCCCAGATGCCTAGATAGTAAGGAAGCTGAAATTACGGAGTAAACCTGGGTTTTCCTTCTTATGTCTTCGGGAGCTTTGTCAACGTGAGAGGCTGCGTCACACGAGTGTCATCACAGAGAATGGGGTTCATGGCAATAGACATTTACTTGAGCCATAAAGATAAAACTTGCTTTGACAGAAACTCTCACTCTGAACTACATCCTTAACTTGCAGGAACTCTGACTTGCCCCAAGGATCAGGAGTACCCTTTGTGAAGTATTGCTCATGTGGTGCTGCTTCTGTTAGGAACAGAGGGAAGGGGAGGCACACCAGCATCCTAGAGAGAGGGAAGGAAACACTGCCAGCTACCTCCCTGGTCCGTCTCGCATAAATACCTCCTAAGGAGCCCCTTTCTTGCGGCGGAGAGAGTGGGACTCTGTCAAAGAATTTCACAAAATTTATATCTCCCCGGTTTCCAACCATGTTAAGATAAAAATTAACATTTTGCTAAACGATTTTCCCTTCTGTTATTTCCGTATGCTTCTTCCTGCTTAGATTTTGGTCTAGAGAGCTGCTGTGATCTTTACATTCAGAAAAATATTTCCCATGTCATTGCTGCCCGGGGGAGTTGTTTGACTTCCCTTTTTAACATTCCCTCTGTCATCTTTTTAAAAATTTAAGTATAGTTGATGTACAATATTACATTCGTTTCAGGTGTACAGCATAGCGATTCGACGTTTAAATACATTTTAAAATGATCTCCACAGTAAGTCGAGTAACCATCTGTTCCCCTACAAAGTTGTTACAGTATTATTGACCATATTCCTTATGCTGTATATCACAGCCCCTTGACTTATACCTAGAAGTTTGTACCTCTTAATTCCCTTCACCCACTCTGCCCATCTCCTTCCTTTACCATCCAGCTGTTCTCTGTATCTGTGGATCTGTTTGCATTTTGTTTTGTTTGTTTTGTTTTAAGATTCCACATATAAGTGAGACCATGGTGTTTTCCTCTGACTCATTTCACTTACTGTAATGCCCTCAAGGTCCACCCATTTTGTCACAAATGGAAAGATTTCATTCTTTTTTAATGGCTAAATAGTATTCCATTGTGTATATATGTATCACATTTTCTTTATCCATCCATTGAGGATACGTCAGTTGCCTCCATGTCTTGGCTACTGTAAATAATGCTGCAACAAACATGGGAGTGCATGTATCTGGTCAGTTTAGTGTTTTTGTTTTCTTTGAGTAAATACCCAGAAGAAAAATTGCTGGATCATGTGGTAGTTGCATTTTTTAAATTTTGAGAAATCTCCATATTGTTTTCCATAGCAGCTGCACCAATTTACATTCCCACCAATAGTGCATGAGATTTCTTTGCTCCACATCCTTGCCAAGACTTGTTATTTGTTGTATTTTTGATGATGGCCATTCTGAGAGGTGTGAAGTGGTATCTTGTTATGATTGTGATGTGTATTTCCCTAATGATTAGTGATGTTAAGGATATTTTCATGTGTCCGTTGGCCATCTGTAAGTCTTCTTTAGAAAAACGTCTACTCAGGTCCTCTGTCCATTA